TTTTTAATCTTTGAAATAGATAATCTGTAAATTGCGAAAATCTTTCAAAGATCAATTCACCCTCCTCTTGATCTCAGCCTACATTTCTAACAGAATATGCTAAGTCTTGTGAAGAGTATCAGAGTTTAGTCCTATACAACAAGTTCCTGCTAGTGAAATTCACTCGATTATTAAACCTTTGCCTTTTAGAGGTTGGACAATCAATTTAATTGGTCAATTTTTTCTCCGTCATCGAGAGGACATAGATATATAATAGTAGTTTTCGATTATTTTTCAAAATGGGTAGAAGCAATCCAGTTAAAAGATGTCGATCAACAAGATGTGATTGATTTCATTGAAGAATATATTGTTTATCGATTTGGGATACCATAGTCTATTACCACTGATAGAGGGACAATTTTTACTGGTAAGAAGATGGTTAAATATGTTGAATCAAAGAATATTCAGTTATTAGCATCAACTCCATATTATGCTCAGGCTAATGGACAGGTTGAAGCAATTAATAAAATAATTATTGGTTTAATAAAAAAACATGTTGGTAATAAACCAAAGACGTGGCATGAAACGTTATTACAGATTTTGTGGGCCGATCGAAATTCGCCGAAAGATTCCCTGCAGAATACTCCATATAAGTTAGTCTATGGACATGATGCGGTTTTATCCATCGAAATAAATATTGAGTCAACTCGAATACAAAAACAAAATGATTTTCCCAGCTGCAATTATTGGAACTTGATGTATGACGAATTTGATGAACTCGATGAGATAAGATTGCAAGCGTTGAATAACATTATTCTACAAAAAAGTCAAATTACTCGAGTTTATAACAAGAAAGTTCGACAGAAAATATTTAGAGAAGGTGATTTAGTTTGGAAAACAATTTTGCCGATGGATAAGAAGTCTAAAAGTTATGGCAAATGGTCACCGAATTGGGAAGGGCCTTTTGAAATTGTGAAAGTATTATCGGGTAATGCTTATTCGATTGTTAATTGGTATAGTAAAGAAAAAGTACTATCGATAAATGGGAAGTACTTAAAAGATTATAAACCTCGAATAAGGGAAATAAGCATTCACAATTGATTAAAGTATAATGTTTTACAAAACTTGATATTGAGATTTGAGTTGATCAAAATCTGTCAATAATTGAGTCTGAGAGGAGAGGTTCGAATTTTCTTCAATAAGCACTTTTCTTTTGCGTTCCATTCCTTGTTCCAGAGAAAGTGCCACTTCCTTTGCCGAAGATTTGATTGAATTTATTTTGGTTGTAAAGAAGTCATCTTGTCCTTTGAGTTGTTGAAGTCTTTTCTCCAGTTCTTCGATCTCGCCTCTAAGCAAAGATTTTTCTTTTGACGCCTCTTCAAGTTCAATCTTTTGACTTTTTAACAAGTTCGATTTTTCAGCTTGAAAGGTAGAAATTGTGGTCAATTCATTAGCTATAGACTGTTTCTTCTTCTTCACAAAGTAAGCTTTGTTAAATAAATCGGTAGTCGCTGCTACTTCAGCATCAAAGCTCTTTGGAAGACTGTCATCGAGGAATGCTTCTATAGCAGTAAGGATCTCTTGAAAAAGTTGTTTTTGCTCGAGCGATTCCACCAAGACTTCAAGGGGTGAAGAGTAGAAGAAAGATCTAAATCGTTTTATCAATTTGTCTGCTTCTTCAGTTGATGTCACAGGCGGTTGAGATGAATGACTAGAGGGAGTGACATCTTCAGATAATAGAATATCGAGAATAAAAAATGAATCTTCTTCAATAGCAGTTTGATATTCTAGTAAGTCTTTAGGGATAGGATCATTAT